CCCCACTTAAACTGAAAGAAACAAATATTGCAAATAAACATAATAGGCTTAAAAATCCCAGCTGGCGGGAGGTAGACCAGTTGGCTATTTACAAGCATGACTGAGGCATTGAACTGGGGTCTAGCGAGAAACAACTCTAGCTTAGTGGTCAGAGCAGGACTTGGACCTGTGACCTCTGGATTTCAAGTCCAGTGCCCTAACCACTCAGCCATGTTACCTTCATAATTCCATCTGTAAAGGACATGTTATTATATACCATAATGATACCAAAAGAAGAAAGAAAACAAGAATGGTAAATGCAAATGTATTGGTGTCTGATCAAACCAGCCAATGCTTTGATGACACCTACAAATGATAATGCATTGGTGACAATAATTATTTTATTTAGTAATTAATAATACTTATTGATATTAATATTTATTTCCTGCAGCCAAAGCAGTGTTCTGGCATTCTAGTGCACATATCATGGGTGAAGCAATGGAGAGACACTATGGAGGTCATCTGTGTTATGGGCCGCCGATAGAGGAGGGTTATTACTATGACATGTTCTTGGATGGAAGGTTGGCTTGCCCTCACACTTAATTTATTAAAGCTTGACACCTTGTTCCGTTTTGTTTTCTTTATTCCAAAGTTTGGTTCGATGTCCGGGCATATTACTTTGGAATTTTAAGATTTAATAAATCAGTCTTAAGAAATAAATTCCAGGTTACTTAAACACTATAATGTTTATTATACCAAAGTAGAAAGATTCTTGGCTTAGTATTAAGGCCAATGCTTGTGAACTTATATTTAGAATATAGCTGTGTGGCTGATGTATATTTTTGAAGTTTTATAGTCTTGATTTTTTTGACCTTTTTGTGTGTTTTGACTGCAGGCAGGTGTCCTCAAATGACTATTCTTCTTTGGATACTTTAACGAAAAACATTGTGAAGGAGAAACAGCCTTTTGTAAGACTTGAGATATCAAAGGAAGACCTCTTAGTGATGTTTAAGGTATCACTTGAAGTTCATTTTGGTAATAAATTATTACATAATTTGTTAGAATGAGTTGGATTTTAGTTCTCTTGCATATGGAACTCTGTTGTGTGTAGATCATTGTCACCCCTCCCTTCCTTCCCTCCCTTCACACACCTGCACCAACATTTGTCCTTGTGTAGGTTATGCCCTGATAATGGAATTGTTCCAGTGGAATCATAAAATCTCTTTTGGAAGATATTGGGTTGGTACTCAAAAAAACTAGTCTGTTCCAGGTTCTTGGTCAGTGGGGACGATCAAAAAAAGCAGGCAGGTGACGAGTGATGAGCGGGGTCTGGTAGAGAAAAAGGGGGCCAGACCCTGCTCATTGTGCACCTATGTGATCTCTTTATCTTAAGACAAAATGATGTGACATATTAACTTGTGAACTAAGTGGTAAGCAATTTAGTATTGTTAACCTTGGAAGAGACCTTGTGTTCTATTATACTACCTAGCTGCACACCTATCCTTGATTGAATTTATTATTTATCAAAGTATTAATATGTTATTTTTACAGTACAATGAATTCAAGTGCAGGATTATAAGGGAAAAGGTGAAAACACCAACTACCACTGTGTACAAGTAAGGATAAATTGGATTGATCACTGGATTTTGTAATCTAACATGATTTTGAATGATGATTTCTATTGATATTTGATGTAGTGCTTTTTGAGTGTAATTTCTGCCTCTTCCCCAAATTCTACATTGTGTATCAGTAACTGATCTACTTGGAATTAGTTACATAACTTCCCCCTCATCATTACTGTTCGTCTGGTGGCAGTTCTTGGTGTTCTTTCCTACTCTGTATAAGGAAAAAAAGTAAATCAGATGTTAAAATACCGTCAGAGATAATCTCTTTAATTTATTTAAGGTGTGGGCCACTGATTGACTTGTGCCGAGGACCTCATGTAAGGCATACTGGAAAGATAAAGGCTATGCAAGTCACTAAGGTATGTACAAAGTTACAGAACTATGGATGTTCTTTTTGCAGTCCTCTTGAATATTTTGTTTGTCTTTTTATTTTCAGAACTCTGCTACATACTGGGAAGGAAACTGTGAAGCAGAATCTCTTCAGAGACTTTATGGAATCTCATTCCCAAATGATAAACAGGTGTATTGAAATTATGTGTGTAAATGTCATGTCAGAATGTATGTGTACAGTGTACACTGTATTTAGTCTGTAACATATCACAAAATCCCTTTCATTTCCTCTACTTCCTAGAGTGAAGAATTCTCTGTTCTCAGAAATAATAAAACATTGACAAATAAGTGTTCTATTGTTGACATGAAGCGAGTTTCAACACTGTCTATTTTAAGAATTACCTTACCTTTCCTACAACATCTGTTTTGGACACCGAAAAAAAAAAACATTAAAAAATATTTTCTTGTTGAGGTAGATGAAAGAATGGAAGAAGTTTCAGGAGGAGGCTGCAAAAAGAGACCACAGAAAATTAGGAAGGGTGTGTACAGCTTCTCAATATTAGTTTACTCTCTTGTTCTATTACCGGTATTGTAGCAGGTGCTCATTCAGGCTCTGGAAATCCTGTAAAGGCCTGTAGTTTTTGTTCTTGTCTTTGAAAATGGTTTTATAGGTTGTGTAAAGTTTTGGAAACCTAACCCCTATAAAAATAGTGAACATAAGTTAGGCAAAAAAGAATTTTTCTGAAATAAACTTAAGTGGCTGAGTTTAGCAAACTCATTAGGTACACAATATTTCTTTATTGGGGTCGTGAAAAGGGAGTATTGTTGAAGAACAAGAAATAAACTTGTGCTATTGATTAACGAACAAGTGCTGAAAATTGTATTAAACTAGTATGAGTGTAACTAAGGACTTTTCACCAAGTAAAAAATTGCAAAAAATATTAGGTAAAAAGCTGTTAAAACTACAGTCGAACCCCTGTTAAGCAGCCTCCTATTAAATAGCCACCCCTATTAGGCAGCCAGTAATCAAAGTCCTGATGAGGTTTTTTCTATTGTTTTTACCTCTATTAAGCAGCCAGCCCCTTTTAAGTGGTCATTATCCATTTCTGCGAGGGTGGCCATTCAATAGGGGTTGAACTGCATATACACTTTTGATCAGTGACATCATGATCACCCTGACGAAGGAGGATCTTAATGATCAAAAACATGAAGTGTTTACATAGTTTTCACAGCTTTTTTATCTAAACCTTTTTAAATAAAATCTTGACTGTTAACATTGATTTTACTTACAGGATCATGAACTGTTCTTCTTCCATGAGTTGAGTCCTGGCAGCTGTTTCTTTTTACCAAAAGGAGCTCATATCTACAACAGTCTTATTAACTTCATCAAGGTTGGATTTTTGTGTAATTCATTTAGCAACGAAAAATGTCACTGAAACTAAAATAATACATTGCTGATTGAACTGAATGGTAATATACACCTCACCTGTACAATCGATTAGTGACACCTAATGCCTTATACATTTACAGTATTAGTATACAACAAATGGGCTGCTAAAAACAAGCTTTGTTGACCAATGTACAAGACTATTCTCAGGGGAATATATGAGAAGCTTGACGATAGTATTTCCAATACCAAACTATGTGGTCGATCTGGACCACTGTAAAGCCTCTATTTCTCATTTGTTCCCATTAATCTGTTTGTTCTAAGGCCCAGGTGCATTGTCTTTGCTCTGTGTTTATTGTTTCATTTTTTTTTCCAATTTTAAGAACCTTGTAAATGGTGCAGGTTTCTTTTAAACTATGGCTTGATCCCCAAGAACTAGCAAAACATCAAAATGCACAATTTTCCTGTTCCTCTTGAGAGCATGCTGGGAAATTAAACCCAGGGGATCTTATGTGAAAGATACAAGTTCTGAACGTTTTCAATCAATCTGTTCTGTTTGTAATCAGGAAGAGTACAACAAGCGAGGATTCCAGGAAGTTATTTCACCAAACATTTACAGTACCAAGCTGTGGGAAACATCAGGTCACTGGCAGCATTACTCAGTAAGGACCACTGGATGTTCATTGATGTTGCTGCTTTTATGCCTAGGAGGGGCACTCCCAGAAAAGTTGGGTAGTGGTGTGCAGCCCACTTCCCAAAACCCTTAGCCTGTTTATGAGCAAAATCTGGCATTTATGCTACCCTATTTATGACCTGGCCAGAAATTTGATACCTTATTTATGACCTTTGTAGCTGGCTCAGTTGCCCTAAACATAAGTTATGAAAGGCTTTTGTTGATGGACTTATTGATAATGATGAAAAAGTAGCTTCTTCTAAGAAACATTCCCAATTCAAGACTAGAGTGCTGCAATACCCTATCTAAGACCAAAATGGCCAAAATCAATACCCTATTTATGACCAAAACAGCTGAAAAACCCTACACTTTAGGGCTGCACATACCTTTATAGCCCATATAAGGGAGTACCCCCCCCCCCTGACTTTATATTTATTAGTCAGGTTTTTTAACATGGCTGTGTTTGTTTTCCAGGAAAACATGTTCTCTTTTGAGGTGGAGAAGGAGCGCTATGCTTTGAAGCCCATGAATTGTCCAGGACATTGGTTAGTTTTTGGCTTGCTTGTCTGTGTATAACCATAGTGTTGATGGTCAGGGGCTTTTGTCCCAGGGGCTTGCATTACTCAGGTCTATACTCATAAGAATATCAAATTTGTAAGAAACTATTAGCTAAAATATAAACAAAATTGATAAAAAGCTGTTATAACAATGTATGCCTACTCAGCAAAATTTTGATCTGTCAGCTAACAGACCTGAGATAGAATCATTCTACAGCCTTCACTGCCCATCACTTAATTCACACAGACAGTGTTATAAACATGCAGTGGTTTTCACCCAATTGTTATCTCTGTAATCTTTCAATGGGGATATGTGCTGTCAATCCACATGATAATCACTATCACGTCACATGACCAGTTCTCTAATTTTCTTCCCATGATTTGTTCCTTAATTCACATAAGCCATACTCATCACCTAATTTGATATTTATCAATGAAAAGATTACCCAGATCACTCTGTGAATTACTTTTGCGGCAGGAGGTCATCATTGTTGTACAAGTTAACCTTTTCAATTGTTTTTCAGTGTAATGTTTGATCACCGTCCCCGGTCATGGCGTGAACTTCCTCTAAGGATGGCTGACTTTGGAGTTCTCCATCGTAATGAACTGTCTGGTACACTGACTGGACTGACCAGGGTGAGAAGATTCCAACAGGATGATGCCCACCTCTTCTGTAGACCAGATCAGGTAGTTTTTATATTTATCTGGAGCGCTGCTATTGATGCAGCTAATAATACTTCTGCTGTCATAGGTACATAACAAATGAAGAGTTACCTTTGGGTCCAAGGTTTCTTTTGCATGCAATAGGTGCCTATAATAGTTGATGATTTACTTAAGGGCATTATTTTCTCTTTCATTGTGTTGTTGATTCCATTTTATGTTTAATTAAAGATTGGTGATGAAATTAAAGGCTGCCTGGATTTCCTCAAATTTGTCTACAGCAAGTTTGGTTTCTCCTTCAAACTTTTCCTGTCCACAAGACCTGACAAGTACATGGGTAAACTGGAGCTGTGGGACAGTGCAGAGAAGGTGAGATGCTAACATCTTGTGCACTTCAATCCTAACAGTGATCGTCATCTTCAGACAGCAGAAAGTAGTTATACTAATGTTGATAAGTGATAGCTGAGGGATAAAGTGCCCCGGTGTTAACCAAATGTTTCAGTCCTGTAAGTTCAGTTGCATTCTGGTGCATTTCTAGCACACACAAGTGATTTTGTTGGAGGCAGCTTTTAAAAGACAGCATAGACTGATTTTTCACTTGTTCACTAAACCTCAGAAAGATCTTATCATAATTACGGTGGTGAAACAAAACTGCTCATTAATTTAATAAACTTTGTGTTAAAAAGTACCAGACGCAAATGCTTGAAGTAGCTGGTGACCTTGCATCAGGCGCCAACTTATTTTGAAAACCTTGTATTTGCTTTGTATGATTGGACCTCTTGTTCAGCAAGGTAAATGCATATTGGTGGAACAGTTGGTTAAACCCGAGGCATAGACTTAATTCATAACAGTGAATCAAAACGCTTGCAATTTTAAACCTAGAGATTTCAAACATTGTGTCTTTAATAGCTTGCCCCTGTTGTTTCTCCACACCTTATATACAGACTGTTTGAAAATAACTGCCCTTAACCCTCTCACTCCCAAGAGTGCCATGTGATACAAAATACCATTACATGCTCCATATTTGGTCAATTTTTATCAAAATTGAACAGCCCAAAGGTCTTGGATAGATCCGTCATTTGAAAGTATAAAATCGTATCTTCCTCTTAATGAGACTTGATAAACCACCCGTACAAATTGTGCATTTTTGTCCTCCTAGGCTTTTGATGTCAAGTTAATATCTGACAATAACCCACACATTAGGAGCTGCATATTAAGCTATAGTTTAGGGGCACACCTCAACTATACAAGGAGTGAGATAATTTTTAATGTTTTTCTTTTTTTGTTTTGAATGCTTTTCAATTGTAACTGAGGCTTCCTCTATGGCTGTTAGTATGATGTACAGTATCCCAGAAATAATTTCTTTCAAACAGATGCTATGTGTGGTCCTTGGGTCTATAGTTACCATTTTACAAAATATGTGGTTTTACATGCTTGTGGTCTTTCAAACACTGAGAAACAGAGACAGCCATTTGTTTCAATGGGTCAGTGGTATACGTCTATACAGGCATCTTTCATGCCCTCTTTAAATTCTCTTTTATCTTTATAAAGTCTCAAAGATTTTTCTGTTCATGTTAGGAACTGGAAAAGTCTTTGAATGAATTTGGAATGCCTTGGACATTGAACCCAGGAGATGGAGCATTCTATGGACCAAAGGTACAGTAAGTTGATAGCTTTATAGCCCATCAGGCCAGTGCTTATCTCTGGTTTCTGTAGCATGAGTTGACTAGGAGTATTTCTACCCACCCCCCTACCCCTCTTAGATGGGATGCTAGCCCATTGCATGGTTACCCCCAAGTATTAAATTCACAGGTTCCCATTATTTTATACACCTGGGTGGAGAGAGGCACTGTGAGAGTAGAGTGTCCTGCCCAAGAACACAACAGAATGTCACCAGCCAGGCTGAGGGGCCTCGTCTACTTGAAAACTTGAAACTGCTTTATTTAAAATGCTATTGCTTAAATCCTTAATGCCTAGGTGTGGATTACGTCAGTGCAAAAAAGTTTTTCTTTTCACTGACACCTATCTTCTCTTTGCTAAGTGGCACATGAGATAATTCTTTTAATTCCGAGAAAACAAGTCTACTTTCCCCATACTTATACCCACTATGACTAAGGTAGGCATACATCCAGGGNTTACATGCTTGTGGTCTTTCAAACACTGAGAAACAGATACAGCCATTTGTTTCAATGGGTCAGTGGTATATGTCTATACAGGCATCGTTCATGCCCTCTTTAAATTCTCTTTTATCTTTCTTAAGTCTCAAAGATATTTCTGTTCATGTTAGGAACTGGAAAAGTCTTTGAATGAATTTGGAATGCCTTGGACATTGAACCCAGGAGATGGAGCATTCTATGGACCAAAGGTATAATAAGTTGATAACTTTACAGTCATGTTTTAGATAAAAGTGGCCCATCAGGCCGGTGCTTATCTCTGGTTTCTGTAGCATGAGATGACTAGGAGTATTTCTACCCACCCCCCTACCTCTCTTAGATGGGATGCTAGCCCATTGCATGGTTACCCCCAAGTATTAAATTCACAGGTTTCCATTATTTTATACACCTGGGTGGAGAGAGGCACTGTGAGAGTAGAGTGTGGTCCGTCGGACGAAAACTGCTAAAAATACCCTTGACTCTGATTTCCCGTGAATCGTATAAATAAGAATTTTATTCGATCTGAAATAAACACAACAAATGATACACTTAAACAATAGCAACTAACCGAAAATAAAGGGCCTTAATACATCGTATAAACCAA